GTGTGTGTGTGTGTGTGTGTGTGTGTGTGTGTGTGTGTGTGTGTGTCTGTCTGTCTGTCTCTCTGCAGGGTGGCATGTATGTTTTCCAGCTGTTTGATTACTATGCAGCGAGCGGTGTGTGCCTTCTGTGGGTGGCATTCTTTGAATGTATAGCTGTTGCCTGGGTTTATGGTGAGTACCATCCTTCTGAATATAACAGATGACTTTGTGTTTTACTTCATGCCGTGTTTAAAGCATTCTGCCTCTGTGTTTGAAATGTTCTGCACTAATGATCTTGCCTTTGTAATTGTAAAATAAGTAGTCCTGGTGCATTCTGAGTAAAAGAGTTTTTGCAAAGACAATAACCAGAAGGTACTTCACTGTCTTCACAGGCGTTGATAATTACTACGATGCACTTGAGGACATGCTTGGCTACAGACCAAACGCTTGGATGAAGTGGAGCTGGACTGTCATCACTCCTGTACTGTGCATGGTAAGAGCCTGCTGCTGTTGTAACAGACGGTGAACCATAAGCATCAGGCTCAGCCTGCAGATTATGACACAGCAACAAAAAGGAGTTTGACTTCTTCTTCTTTTTATGAAAACACTTCTTCTGCTTCCTGAAACTTGTTCGAGTCCTCGTGACGTTCACGTGTTTCTTAAATAGACATGTTGACATTTAATATGCAGTATTTGCCTTCATATGTCCCCACAGCAGGTGAACACTAAAAGGTCAAAACATAATTAAATACATGATGTATCACACTGACACCCTTGAGTCATTGTCCCCATGTTAAGTAGTGGACTTACACGATAACACACACAGTGTTACTGAGTGTGCGTTGAATTTAGTGTTTTTGAAGATGCCAAATCACCACATGATACAAATTTAAACAATGTGAAGCTCTCCCTCACAGCGCTGACGTTCGTATTCCTCCTCCTCCTCCTCCCCAGGGCTGCTTCATCTTCTCCCTGGTCAAATACAAGCCACTGACGTACAACAAGGTCTACGAGTATCCAGACTGGGCCGTCGGAATAGGTTGGTCTCTGGCCTTGACCTCCATGATCTGCATCCCCATGGTGGTCGTCATCAAGATCATCCGATCTGATGGGCCGCTCATTGAGGTGGGTGGCTTATGCACAAATTCTGCCGAAACGTTTTGTTTTTTCGAACGCAGATTTTGTAGGTTTTGTTTGTATGCAATTGTTTTTTAGTCCGTTTTTTGAAGCTTATACTCTTTTTTTTCTGTCCCATGTCCTCTCTCTGTTGTTCTCTCCTGTCTCCATTATTGCTCGATCCGTTCCTGTCTGTCATTCCTCCCATCTTTCCCCTCCTACCTGCTTCTCTCTGTTGTTTCCACCTCTCCTTTTAAACCCCGCCTTCCTCTCACACTTCTCCCTTCCATCCCTCCCTCCTTCCGCCCTGCAGAGGATTAAGGCGGTGGCAGCCCCGGTTCGCGGCGGCGCCAGCTCCCGTCCCGCAGACCACCGTGGCCTCAAGGAGCTGTCCTACCCTCTGGACCCCAACGGGAACAAGGACCTCCTGATAAAGGCCCCCACCCACACCATCGTAGAAACCATGATGTAAAGGAATGAGGCGGAGGCTCTCCATGAGATCGCTCTCCTCTCCTCTCCTCTCCAATGCTTCTAAAGCTAGCTAGTCTTTTCTGTCTATCTGTCTGTCTATCTGTCTGTCTGGTGGACTTATAAGGGTTTTAAGGAAGAAAAAAAAAAAGCGTTCCCGTTTCAAATCTCGTAGGAATACTCTGGAAGCAGTTTGCTCTTGGTGGGTTTTCTTAAGAGGGTAGCAATCACATTTCAAATCTATTTCTGAATTACTCACAATGGTGCTGGTCCTTTCCCCCCTATTTGTAATACCCACTCTTGTCTTGTTTAAAGGCAGAGTGGCACATAAGTACCGGCCTCTGGTCACACGCTGGTACATCTCTGTTTGCAGAATACCAGCCATTGTTGTTAAAAAAGAAGAAGAAGAAAGTGGTTATTGAGTCTTGGAATCAAACTGAATGTTGTAGCCACCAAATATAAAAAAAACAAATACCCATATTGAACACATATCACCAAAATCAGTTTTTGGGGCTGTTCTCTGCCTGTGATATGACATCACACACATATATATATAATGGACATGGTGCACTTGTGCCGTAGGGTTATTCGGTTCCACTGTGCTCAGGGGAGGCCCGGTTGAGAGGAGGTAGAAGATGGAGGCACTGCAGGTACAGCATGAATAATTTAAAAAAACACGTATTTCTTATCCATGTCTGAAACATTTCGATGATATTCCAGCTGCACAAGGCAAGATCTTTGGTGAGAAATATGACCAAAACCTACCAATCAAAATTCCAGTATTCTCATTTCTAGTACACAAAATTGCCCGGTGCAGCAAAAGAATGAAAAATTGAATAAATGTATTATCACAGCCGTGATAGCCGATGACCCTTATCAAGCCAGGATCCTGGTTTTTGAAATGCACCTTCGCATCAAATATCCCCATCTTCCACAGCCTGAGACTCTGGGTCAGTGAGAACAGCAGCGCTGAGACTGCACAAAGAGAGGGGAATCTGAAAGGATTTGAAGTGTGGAGGTTGAACCCTTGAGTGTGTTGTATGTGGCGTACTGTACAGTAGTAGCTAATCAGTCCATCTATATCTATCTCTATCTATCTTTCTCTGTCCTAGACCAGTTTACAGTACGTTAGTGGCTGCACTAGGCGCTCTTGGCTTACACTTTTGGATTGGATTTATTTTACTTTCTACAGAGGAAGTTACATTATTATTAGTTTTTCCTCTGGCAATGTTTAGATTTTTTTTGTTATTAAGACTATAATAATATTGTTATTCACTATTGATGATAATCGCTGTAGTTTTACATGGAAGAAGGAACACTTGTGTGAAAATACTAAGCTGTTATACAAATCATACCTTTACAGTGGCAGCCATTGTAACGAGAATCCTCGTTCAGTTCCGCAGCGTTGGCCCTGCCAAACAATTCCGTCTTTAGCGTCAAGCAAACAAACAATGCAACTTATTTTATGCCCCAAATATCTTCTCCTGTGGGGGTGTGGATTTAAACATTCGGCAAGCAGTTCGATGTACAGTAAGACAAGTGGACTCTACAATGGCTCCATGTGTAGGTTGGTAGGTGTTGGGGGTTTATAGCGTTTCCTCTTCTGTAAACACCACGGGACTGTATTTCATTTGGGTAGATTGTGCCAGACAGGGCACTAAACCAACATGTCACCGACTCAATGACTCCAAGCAAGGAGTGTCTAACTCCTTCCCAGACTCTTATTGGCTGCAGACGGATCAGAGCCAGTGGACGACAGAGTTTGGTCACGTTTTTTATTTTCCCCCACAGTCACCATGTTGCTTCACTTCACTTCTAAACGAGAGCTGAGAAGCTTCGTATCAAACAGGGAACCTCAACTGTTCTGAAAAAGCAATTGAAATGTAGCAGACGGTTGTACGCATCGCAACAGAGACCTTGGAAGGTAGTGGGAGTCGGGTGTCTATCATCATTTTGGGATTATCAGAATGAATTTCGAGGCGTAGCAACGGTGAATAAAGAATATTCGCAGCATCCAAATACGTCAAAAACTCAAAATGTTGTGCTAAGTCGGACTCTGCCTGAAATTCTAACTAAGCCTAACCAAAGACACAAACGAAGAGAATAGTCAACTTAACTTCTGATGGAATATATTAGTCAATTAAAGCTGTGAAATTAGGCACTATATATAAGATGTAATAAAAACGGGACTCTGGCTGAATGATTATCTGAGAAATCCGACATTTACCACCGTTGCATTCACGTTAACACGTCCGTGGAACAACGGGTTCCCCGTGTGTGTGTGTGTCGCCAGTGACCATCCACTCAGGACTTTCGCTTTAGCTGCTTTAACCCAACATTCGACTCGTAACTGTGGTCGACAAAGAGACACTTAACGGTAGCAATTGAAGACGATGTTATTGTCCATCTTGGAAGGCCATTGGATCGGTTCGCTGCCACACAGAATGGAATATATATATATCACACCTTTACTGCCTATGTAATCCGCAATCGAAGGCAAAAATACAAAAAGAGAGTGAGTCGAAGTGAGATTATCGCACCTTATTTGTATAATTTGGACTTCATGTGAAATGATGAGACCAAAAGAAAAACACTGCCATCTTTTTATTCAGGGTCCTCGTTGGCCTCGACAGTGAAGACGATCTGAATACGGTCGGAACCCTTCTGTTTCCCAAAAAGCACAACAGCAGACATATTAAAATAGATCAAAATGTTATGAAACTATTCATCCACGTCAGATATACAGTTATACACGAACACATGCATTGCAGGAATTTGACCGACAGCATCACATCAGAAGTGATGGTGCAATCAGGGCGTCGTTTCGTGTGTCATCTAAGCTTTGATCATTTCCTTTTTTTATTTCACTTTATTTAATTTCTTCAACTTAGAATAAAGTAGTTCATATCATTCAAAGGGATTTGTGAAACCAAATCCACAGCAGACATCTATTTTCATACAGTAATAAACTTTTCCTATATAAGTCGTCTTTGTACAGCTGAGCTCCCATCGCAGAACCTCCCATTTTAATACCGATACAAAGCTTTGTTTTAATGTTCAACTTTTGTACAGATCTGGTCCCTCGATCCCCTGAAGGATCTTTGCACTAAGGTGGGAAAAAGAATGGTAGTAATGTTGAAAGAAAAGACGTGTCAGCACCTTCCAGTAAGAACAACAGCATCAGAACCACTACAGAGGAAGTAGTCCTGGCCAAAGGCACAGAGCACCTATGGAAAGCTAAATAGTCAGTTTCACCATTTTGCCTACATGGTGCATCTATTAAATGTCTTGGTCATAGCTAAGATGCACAAAATGGAAATAAATGTTTTTATAATGTGGGGACCACAAGAAATAGCAAAACTAAATATCTGTTGCAAAGAGACACACAAATAGATTTAGAGCAAGTAAATCTGACTGAACGTGTTCCAGACACTGACTGAAAGCGTTCCGTAGTGCTGAGATCCTTCTGTTGGGGGGGACGCGTGGGCCAGGAGGAGTAACTAACGCAGTGGTTTATTGGTTTGTTCTGCCTCTCTGTGTATATTTAAAGTATATGCCAGTTCCTCTGCCTTCTGACACTCCCCTTCAGTTAGCCGGAGTAAACCTTCCTGTAACCTAAGCTAACCGATTGTTCTCAGAGAAAACGAATTTGCAAGAGAATCGAAGCATTAGCGATGCACAAAGTTTTTACCGCCGAATGTTGAAATGTTGAAAGTCGCCTGCGGGTGATTGTGAAAGTTTCTGAAGATCTATTTTTTAGGGTGAAAACAAAAGAACTAGTTTCCTTTTTTTATTTTTGTTGATCTTGTTTTATTGAATTCTGCAGTTTTCTTGTTTTGTTTTATTTGTGATTGTGTGTCTGTCACATTTGCCTTTTGTATTCCAAATATAGTGTATTTGAACCTCTGTCATCGGAGTAACTTGTACGACTATCAATCAAAAAAACAAAGCAAAAAATCAACAACAAAAAAAGCTAAGATTTGTTACGTGCAATACTTTGTAGAATACTTTTATTTTTCTCGCTGTTTTTCCAGGAGGTGGTACCAACCTTTGGAAAAAAAAAAAGAAACGACCGCCTGTGAATTCTTGATGAAGATTTGAACCTTCAGGGTCCAGTTCAATTACACCCAGCCACCAAATGCTCCACAGTGTGGAAGTGAACCAAACCAAACCACTGCTCCATCAAAGGTCTTGTGGTTTAAAATGCACTGAGAAAGATTCTAACATTTTGTGACGTCAAATTGAATTTCTTAGCGAAACATATTTTTTCATTTTTTTTTTTTTGTGTCAGACTGCTAAGTTGTGAGTTTGTGAGGGTATGAAACACAGTAACACTGCCACTAAGCCCGCCATCGTTCTGCCTGCTTTCTTCATCTCAGTACTGCTAAAACATCCGGCAGCTTTCCAAAAGCACGCCACCACCAAAGTTCACCATTTCTGATCCACAACACACCTGGAATCTCACCAGGTGCCCTTAAGGGTGGAAAGTCTAATTTGCTTGTGATGGAACAAATACATTGGAGTCATTTCGGCTGCTTTTGGGAAGCCTGCCCCTCAGCAACAAATGCAGTAAATCCAATAAAAACCAGATTGAACCATATCAAATGTGGGCTTTTCTTTCAAAACCTTGTATGCAATTTCTACATTCGGCTTATTCAGACATTTCTAAATCCAACTCCGCTTGGCCCGACCCCACAGCCTCAGTGCTTTAGCAAAGAAAGTGGAGAACCAAACATCCACGCAGGAACATGTGAGCTGATTTTAAATCCCACGTTGCCTACATCGTCTTCATTGCCGGTATGAAAACACCATATCTGCAGGTTTCGGAATCTAATCGTCTGTTTCTGTGATAAAGATTCAACATTAGACCAAACAGATGTGAGGCAACACAACATCTGTTTTATCACTGAAGTCACTGTGACTGCGTGGCTGCGAAGGAAGATACACGGGGCTCCGTTTCCTTAATGCAAGGAGCGTCTGAGTTCTTTGGTTGTCCTTACTCGGAGAACCATAGTTATCATGTAACCTAATTACATTTTTGGCTTTTTTAGCTTTTAATCAAGTTTTGACTTTTGGCCATACAATCATCTTTCCTCTTTTAAATTAAATGGTCTCAGCGCTAAGTCCTCTGGGAAATGGAGTCCCTCTCATCCTCCCCATCCTCTCGGTCGACAGCCTCACTCTGGATATTGTTCCCAATGACAACGCCTCTGTCTCTCCTGCGTTATACTGTATGTATGCCAGCCCTTCCTTTTTTCAAGGAATGTACATTAGAAAATGTTTTTTAATTCTTTCTGAAGAAAAAAACATTTTAAAAGAATTTGAAAGTTTTTATTTTTTATTTCTATGGCCAAACCTGTAAGCTAGGTTAAAGAAAAAAAATGAAAAAAAATATGTGTTTGAACAGGTTTTACAAAAGGTGTAAAACTTTTTTTATTTCTTAATAAAAAATGTGTCTTCTGAAAATGAGCTCTTGAGTTTTTTTGTGTCTGTATGACTTGTTCGTTTATGGGTGGTGTAACGCACACACACACACACGCACAAAGATCATTCCATTCAAGTTCAATTCCCCAACTCGTGGGACTTATGCACCTAAATCCTCTCCACAGCAGAATAAACTCTAATCCTACAAATCCTGTATTACAAGATTTAAGGTACTCAAGCCAACGCAGGAGGCTGCATTCCAGCACGCTCACTGCTGCCGGGTTTCCTTACATATGTGAAAGTATTCAAATGGGTTGGAAACAGCTTTATTATAATAAAAGGGCAATTAGATGTATATAATTAACTTATATGTCTATTAGCGGTTTTGTTGCCTAAAACTATTTTCCTGTCAGGACTGAAGTTTATTTAAAAAAAGGACAAACTAACGCCGTCCCTGCTCGTCCAAAACCGACGCTAGCGGTTAACTTGGAGTCGTAGTTTGGAGCTCGGGGCCACTGACCAAGCGGCGCTATTTGAGGGGTCGGGAGTAAGAGAAGGTTGACTGAGTTGGTGAGTTGCAAGTGAAAAATGTCTAAAACCAACGTAAATCTGCTTGAGTTGGTGCTTTTTTTAGCAGATTTAATCCATTCTTTGACCTGCAAATCCCCCGAATCAGCGCTGTGCTCTGCAACGTGGGTAAATAAGAGCACAAACAGCACACCATAGGTTCATTCGTTTTAAGCGTCTTTGCTGCTGACACTCAGCAGTGCTGCTAGTTAACTTCTTTAGCTAACTGCCCCTCTATCCTGACAGTAGTACGTAACACAGATAGTCTGTGAACAGATCTGCTTCTGCTCCTGTTAGACGAGCTCCGCCCGTCGACTCGGGCAAACGTTCTCATTTTACAGCTAAACAGTTCACTAAAATCTGTTTCTGAAAACATTTGAGGCAAGAAACAGGCAACGCAGGAACATCATCTTGATTTATATTCGATCAGCGCCGCTCATTGACAGTCATTGATGTCAGAGACCCCTCCGCTCCGATTGGTTGTTTTTCTTCGGCTGCAAACGCCGATAAGAGCACGAAAGGAAATAGTGACAGTTTGAGCAAATGTGACAAAAAGTTATCTTAATTGCAGTCACTAACTGTAGCTTTACGGTAACTTAGATGCTGTTCTTGAGTCTATCAGGATACACGTTCTCCTTTGGCTATGATTAGTTGGGTTGAATGCCAGGTGATCCATGGTTGGTGATTGGTTACACCATGGCAGCCCTTGAGGATATAAAGCCAGCTTACCACAAAGAGTCAACAACCTCCTGCTGTATATTCTTGATGTGTGTGTGTGTGTGTGTGTGTGTGTGTGTGTGTGTGTGTGTGTGTCTTAGAGTAAATCATCTGATGCAGAAACCTTTGAAACCGTGGGAACTGTGGTTTCTTTCACCCCTTTATGAATGCCTTTTCCCAAAGATAGGGTTTTGAGTTGACTTCATGGTGGCACTACAACCCACAACAATCCAACCTGTGCTTACCTAAGCAAACAGACAGACATCACTTAGCTAAGCTAAGCTAACTAATAAAGACAGTACAAACAACCTCCAATCCCTCCCAAACTGAGCTGCATGTTCTGTGAAGCCGCTGGAAACGGCTTCAGTTGATGGAATATTTTGAGCCAAACATCCGTTGGGTTTCACAACAGGGAAATGAAGGCTCCGACATGCTGGTGATGAAGAGAAGCTGCTGCTGAACACAGCTTATTATCCCAGACCTTATTTTCCCTCAACAGCTGCGGTTACATGCGGTTACTTTATTTTAATCAAAACAACTGACTCCAATGAAGGTATTATGAGTGCTACATAAAATACTGATTTAAAGTGTCCTGTTTGTGCTTCTCAGTGAAAGGAAGACAGAGGGTTCTTTCAGACGCCGTACAGATCCAGTTAAGTCTCGGTTCATCATGTTGTGTTGATCTTTTGTCCAGAAAAGTGACACAAATACCACCACTTCAGTTGTGATTATTGCTGCCATGTGACCCAACAAAAGTCCTTTTATTCAGCAGGGAATGCAGAAGATGATGTTTGCTTGAACTTGGCGTTGAATAATATTAATTCTGCTGTTGTTTTACAGCAGTGTGAGCTTTAAATAACTCGCACTCCAGAGACACAAACACAACGCTGACATTTCCATTCTCTGCCTGCCAGCTCCTAGAATAGACTCTGCTGCTGAGAATCTCTTTTCCCATTTCATCTTGATGACAGTTCTTTGGCCTTCCTTCCACAGAGCAACGAGCAAAAACACATCTGTGTGTATTCAAGAGTAGTGTTTTTTGGTACTTTCGCCTTTTGTTCTACAGTCAGAAATAGAACAGGAAGTGGAGGAGCAAAGTGAAGGATGATGTGAACATCAAGTGTGGCCAGTTGAGATCCAGGATGTTGTGGTTTCTTGGTACAGCCCACAGGGACACCGCGTGTGCTTTTGCAGATTTTCCACCAATTTGGCAAGTCCACTGTCCTCCACACTGTATCCCAGAAAACTACTGCTTTCCTGTGGACTGTTGAATACAGACATGTGCCGCCTCTTTGACACATTATTTGTCTCCCAGCTTATAATGGAAAGGACATTTGCTCTGGCAGCAGTGTTTGTTCTTACAATGCGATGGGGAAATGAACAATCTTTTTTTTTAATCTTAGTGAGCAAAGGTTGTCCAGAGGTGGAAGCCGTGTTCAGATCCTTTACTTAAACAACAACTGACTTGTTTTGGTCACTAGTGGAAAGCAGAAACAGGTTGTGAACACAACATTGACGTATCATTATACGGCCAACTTGTTAGCAAACAGTTGCTTGGAACATGATGATTCATGTTCCGAGTATTCAGTCAGTATTCACTGCCTTTAGCTCCTGAGGGCATTGGGCCGATCTGACTGTGTTCACCAGCTAACTCTCGTTTATAACTGTGTCCGGAGAGCATTTGCTGCTGAGCAGGTGCTCACAGTGAGTTTATAAAAAGAATTACTTTTTCAAATAATTACTTTTTCAAATCTTTTTCCGAATTTATTGTGACTATTTCAGTCATACTGTACTTTCACTGAAAAGAATAAATTGACAGACTATATTCTGACATGTTTTACATACACTGTAGACTTTTTCACAGATTTTTACTTTTTGTAATTTTTTTTTGACATACTATACTATGACTTTTTTAAACACTTTTTAGACTGACACCTGTCCATTAAAAGTCTTATTGTCATACCGGGAGTCGAACCCAGGCTGCCTGGGTGGAAACCAGAAATCCTGAACGCTAGACCGTATAGAGTTTTATGCCAATTTATACTCTACATTCTTCCATAACTGCAGTTTGGTCTTTTTCGACATACTATACTCTGACTTTTTTTACGACACTTTTTTCGACTTATAACATTCTTTTATTAAACACTTTTTAGACTGACACATGAAATACTAAACAGTTACTATTTGTAATCGTTTTTTTCGACATACTACACTATGAATTGCTTTATTATCTGACTTTTTTCATGACTTTACTCGACATACTTTACTAAGACTTTATTTTGTCATATTGAAGGTTCTCATAATCAATTTTTAGTTATACTTTGACTTAAAAACAAAAATAATTGACATTATATAATATGACTTTTCCATGTCTTTTTCAGTCATACTATGATATTTTGTCATACTCTACTTTGACTTTTTTCATACTATAAATTGATGTTTTTTCATCATACTATAGACTTTTTTCCAGATTTTTGCAAAACTCTATACAAGTTACTTTTCAACGTCTTTTCCGACATACTTTACTATTTTAGTCAAACTATACTTTGACTTTAAAAACACAACTTCATTTCCCATATTCTGACTTATTTGACATTCTATACTATGACTTCATGACCTTATATACTTTATTATAATTATTTTCTTGACTTTTCTTAGTCTTTATATCAGACCAGACTGGGTTTGTTAGGAGACATTATGACTCATGTCTTTTTTTATCTCATTTGTACAACAGCCTTTGCTATGATTTTTTGTCATACTTTATTATGACATAGAAGTCATTTTGTTTTTCTGCTGCTTTGGATTTAATCAAACTAACAAACTCTCAAAACGTACATCCCAGTTAGATGCAGAGTGAATATAAGATAATAAGAGGTAACAGTGATATCCAGACCGGCACTCGGATCGGTTAAATTTTTTTGGCCTAGTTTTCTATTTTCTTTTTTAATTTTTGAAAGAACTTCATAACTGATGACAGTGAATTTTGATTGTATGGAGCCAGTAGTAGAGATGAAAAGCTTTCCCCCTTTTCTTTGGAACATATATCTTACACATTGAAACTTTTAGGTATGGATACATATTATAATTGTTCATTAGTTTTTGAATATGATTTTGGAGTGATGACAAACAATCTCTCTTTTCTTAAACTCTTGGATGTCCGTTTCTGTTTTGGTACAGAAATACACAATAACCTGTGTTGGCCTGTTGCCGAGTGATGCAACTCTTATCATACCTGGCCTGTTGTCTCTGGATGCTCCTCTCTGGCTGCCAGGACTAAAACATATCTGTTTGTTAGTGGAAGTCAATCGTTAGGTGTGATTTGTCCAGTTTTTGTGGTCTCATCCGGTCTTCAGGTCTTTCCCACGCTTCAGTTCCACCGGCTCATGGAAGTGCAACAGCATGATGGAGACCAGTCACGCCCAGAGACAGAAGTTCCTGTTTCAATGTTGGCTCGTCAGGTCAGACTGTGCATACTTATACATAGTTTGTGTGTGTAAATGGACATACTGTATCGTGTGCAATTGGGTCCTTAACTACTTTTCCATACGTTACTGCTGTGTGTGTGTGCATAGATGTTATGAGCACTCTGTGTTGGACCTGTTATGTAACGGTACACTCTTGGGGATAATTAAATCCGCAGAAGCAGAATGTACAGTATATACAGAACTGAACAGTACACGTACAATGAACCATGTTATGTAGCAGAGTGGCAGAAAAGCAGATTGTGTGTTCTCACACAGACAGGAACATACAAAGAGGCTCACATATGTACATCCAAACACACTCTGTTCCACATAAAAGCACAGACACAAACATGCACCGTCTGAATAAGACACACACAGGACATTACATCTAAGTGTGTGTATGCTGCCCCCCCCAACTCATATCATTCTCTCCTCACACACATGGCTTGTTTTCCCCAAAACACTCAGGAACTATGAAGTTCTGCAAAAGCATGTTTGTGTTTACAAGTGAAAAGCCATTCGATTAGATTAGATTATGGCGTTTAGATCTGACTGGTAGAAGCCTGATGTAAGCATTTAAGACTCACACCCCAACAGTTTGTTCCTTCCTTAGAAGTATTACCTTCACTTCAGTGACTTTGTGCAGTACTATGGGAAAGGAACACACATTAAAACCAGTTATTCTACAAGTTCCTGGATGTGAAACATGTGCACACACATACAGTGTGCATGTATAGAGCTGTAAGCCGTCACTGGATCGCTCACACACACACACACACACACACACACGCAGTGCTGCAGCATTGGGATTACATCACACACCAAAGTAACGACAGACAAGTCATCCCACATAAAATTAGACATTTTATTGTTCTTCTGATCTTTTCTCATGTTCTTCTCAAAAAGAGAAGTATGACAGTACACTCTTGGTTTCATAGAAAATGAACAAAAAACAAAAAAAACGACAACAACAAAGTTATACATTTTATTTCCCCTCCGATGTTTGTTTTGTATTTCCTCCCATGTTTCGGAAGAGTAATATTGTCATAGAAAAATACTATATTACATAGAATAGAACTTTACACAATTTGAAAAAAATACACAATATCAACGCATACGTTATTAACCCGGCCCAATCCGGAATCGCAATCAGCTGTGATGCCACTGGTCAACACACTTATCTTTTTATAATTCAATGTTTAAATAAATTCATGAAACTGATACGAATGTCAGAATCGGATAACTTCGGTGTAACAAGTCCTCGTGGGATTTATCAGAGACGGGAGACGCACTCACGACCAACAGACCATGAGAGACGATACCGTTTATGACTTTGGATATGATGCAAAAATATATTATTCTTTCCTTTGTAAAGTCAGAGCCACAGTTGGCTGAAAGTCGTGTGAAGGAAGTTTGTATTCATGTCGTGTTACGAGTAACGGTCATCGCGGTTTGTACCAAACTGTGGTTGTCTGGGCAGAATGCTATCGCTGAACAAACACTGTGATCAGCGAGTTAAATATATTTTCCTTTGCGAATGCTAACGGCTAGCTGACTAAGAGCTGTGGTTGTAATATCAGGGGGAATGTATCTGGGTTGCAAGTTAAGCTAATGTTTAGTTCACCATCATGTCTTTGACTCACCCCGACCCTGTTTAGTGTTAATCAATCATTAACACCCATGATGGGAAATCATTTAAATATCGCCGACAGTAGTGACAACAGGTAAGTGTAGCCAACGCAAAAAAAATGGTGAAAAAATGTTTCATCTGACATTACGAAAATTCCCCAAAATTAGTGAAGAAATGTAATATTAATTTGAAATGATCGCATATCAGTCCGTTGTTGGCACAGTAATCAGATGCTTTGTCTTTTTTACCTTTTCAACCACGTAAAGAGCCAGTTTGTCATGTAGCGGTGAGGACGCAGACAAACTGAAACATCCCCCTGAACGCCACACAATCACTGTGAACGACTCATTTCTTACATTTACCACGTTGTGCAACTGTGAAGAAGTTTTATATTATATATATTATTTCTTATAAACATTTGTGTACAATTCCGGATTGGGCTTTAAACTGATCTTTGACCCAAAAATGCATAGGGAGTATGGATGACCACACACACACATACATACATACGTACATAAAAACCAACAGAACAGTTTGGAAGGCTTTTCTCAGCATTTGTCTTCTTTTTTGTAGCTTTACAAAACTTTTTTTTTTTGGCCACTTCACATTTGCGTATAAAACACTCAGACACGTCTGTTCCGTTGTACATGAGAATACTTACAGTGCATGGTATTCAACAGTGTGCTTCTTTTATTAGTAAGTGCTCGGAGAGATGTGAATGTCCCTTTTTTTTGTCATTAATGAAGAAGTCGCCGTTCTCAGGCTCCCTCGCAAGAAATGAGTTCACACTGTTTTCAGTCTCATCAGGGTGTCTGAGCGGCCCACGGCTCTGAAAGATATCACCACTGTACAATGAAATGTACACCACCTAGCGTCTCTCTGTCCCTGACACACACACACACACACACACACACACACACACACACACACAAACACATGCTCAAAAGCTCATATTTGCTTAAAAGGAAAGAAAGACTGACATCCTTGGATACGTACATGTAGAAACACATGTATATACATGTAGTACACACAGAAAACACGCCCCGCCCCCCAGACACACATGCCAGTACAGTCATATATACATGCAGGCTCCCACATTCTATCACACACACACACACACACACAGACACACTGGTGCTCTCAATGGGGGCAGCTGGATTCTAACTGTATTATGTAACAACGTGAGGAAAGAGTGGGAGACAGTGAAAGAAAGAGAAAGAGAGAGAACAGAGGTTGTGATTGTTCCAATCCTTCCGAGGACAAAAGCTATTCTCTGTCTCCTCTCTCTTTCACACACACACACACACACACACACACACACACACACACACACACACTCACGGTTAGTGTTCCTGTGTGTGTCTCTCCTGTCTCTCTCTCTCACACATTTTGTTTGTACTCTCTCTCTAGTGTGCTTACACACAGGAAGACATTTATAAAAATGTTTCCTTCTGACCCGTAACACTCTCTAGTTTCTGTCTGCCACACTCACACACACACACACGTTCTCCCAGTAGAGGAGGGGAGCGACCAGCTCGTCTCGTTTCTGCAAAATCATACGTGCAAAGAAAAAGGTTTAGGCAGAAATCAAATGAAATCATTAAAACAGGAGGTGGAGGAAGTGGAAGGAATCTCTGCTGTTGAATAGGTGGGTGAGGAAAGGTGGGAGAGTTAAAGAAAAGTCATTAAATGAGACGTTCAGATGTTTGGCGTGTTGCTAAGTGAGTGGAGCTATTTCAGGCACACCGACAGCTAAGAGCACTTCCACGTCTCAGGAGGGCATGAAATTCACTCGTTTGAATCGTCAGTGTAAGAGATTAACAATTGACAATCTGAAATGTGTGTTTTTAGCTCGTTAAATACTGTTCCTCCAGCGTTTCAGCCCATCGTTTGCAAACCGGGCGCTGTTTGTTTCCCCTCCTGTGGGTGTGACTTTCAGAGCATGCACTCTGTCGTTCTCTAGCAGTGATGTTGCAGATTGCAACCAACTGAAACTTCTCCCATGTGCCAAGCGTGGAGACCGATCTAGTCCAATCTAGTGCCCGTGTTTGGGTTTGTCCCTTCTGGGCTACTGTAGAAACAACACAGCAGACTCCGGAAAGAGAACCCGCTCCGTATGTAGACATGAACGGCTCATTCTAAGCTAACGAATACACAGCAAGTCTTATTTTCAGGTGATTTTACACTGAAGAAAACATACATATTCATATTAGATTCCATTTCTGCCAATAGATCCCCCTGAATGCTACACACTGGCCCTTTAAGAACCGTCCATCATGCCAAACTAACCTAAAAAACAATTAGCTAAATCCAGCGTGTACCCACTTGTTTATGCACCCGTTTAGATACACTCACATACATCTGAATGTACTGACTCATGTTATGTGCACATCAGAAACAGCTGCAGGAATACAACACAGGCAGACACACAGAAACGTGAACAAACTTTAAGACGAACACGTAGTGACATGCACGCACCAACTGCATTGCTTCGTGTCCTCTAGTTATCTGTACATGCTGGCCCTGTTCTGTACGAGTGTGTATGAGTGTGTGTGTGTGTGTGTGTGACTTGTTCCCAGTCTGGACAGCTCGGTACAAATCTTCAGCATCCAGACGACAACCGTCAGCTTTGTCCATAATTGTCGTGCTGCAACGGGGCCAGTCTCTCCTACAAAGCCAAACAGCAGCAACGCTTTAGTGCTCGTGGTTGATCTGTGCTGTGAGGAGCAGTTTACAAATCACTCGTCATGTCTGCACTGCTCGAGAAAGAGTTGCTTGTGTTTGAGTGTTGTTGTTCACACTGGTACGCTACGTTCTTGGCATAGGCTGCATCGGTGGAGCAGCTACCGTCCTATGAATCTAGTCAACACCCAAAACCGCCACCTTCTGACTCTTCCAACTCGTCACACACTGACGCTTCGTCACAGCGCGTCCTACTACAGGCGCTCAACTATACGGTCGCAACAAACACGTGGGAGGCCGTGGCTAAGTGGAGAGCAGGGCCGTCCTTCAATCAGAGAATCGGCGGTTCGATCCCCGGCCCCGCTAGTCGCACGTCGATGTGTCCTTGAAGCGAGACACGTAGCTCCCGCAGCTGTGCCTCCGGCGTGGTGGAATCTGAATTGTAAGTCTCTTTAGATAAAAGCGTCTGCTAAATGACTGTAATGTAATGTTGTGAACTCAAACAGAACCACGTGCTTAGCTTTAGCCAACGACATCATGGTTGGGCTCTAAATACGTACGTCAACTAAATAAACCGTGAAAAAGCACGTAACTTTAATAAAACTAAACCGCACTTTCAGACAGTAAAGCTGGTCTTTGACTCATCCCCGTGCATCTCTTCAGTCTTTCTTCTACGTCTTCACACTCCTGGAACATTTCCTCCGGGTGTCTGATGATGACACGGATGAGTTTACATCGTAGGGACTTGAAAGCCCGAAGCGTCTCACGCCTTGTGCGTCGACATCGTACGTTAAGGGTTGTGACAAAGCCTCAGTATCTAATAGGGGAGTGAGAGCAGCATGCTCAGCTGTGCTTCTGTGTGTTTTAATCCACTATTGAGCAGCAATACGTAACCTCAAACGACATGAGCACAATGATTATGAAGCATTAATGCTGAATCACATCTCGCAGAAGAAAATGTGAACCTTGAAAGATAATGTCATCTGCTCCGAAGTTCTGCATCTTTGGCTCTTTGGTCAGCACCGGTCTTAGGTGTTGACCGCCTGGGCCGATTGTGATGCACACCAGAGGAACATAAACCTTGACTGTATTATACTTTTGTCTGTTTACTGTAAAGATAATCCATGTTGGATGAATAAGTCCACACTGTTCTGCCCCAGTGGCTCTCAGTGTAAAGTACAGTTGTGATGCTGTGACTCCTGAGGCTCCTTCACCTTGTTTGTTTATGGCATCATTCCTCATAATAAGTGCTACACGCAGCACCTTTAACAGCATCAACAGGTGTTATTTCTGATTATTGTGAACCTCGACCCTAATCGTGAGCTCTGCTGCTTACGGTCCATATCTAGTGGCTTCTGCTCTTTGACTTTGTAGGTCAGCAATGAACTGAAGTGAGATGAACCCAGTGCTCTCAGACAAGTGCGGTGACAAACTGGGCAATGTAGATCGGCAACTTAAGCAGCAGTTGGCACAAAACAAACAAAAAAACCCAGAGAAGGGTCAATATACTCCTAACATGTTGCAGGAAAATGTTCTTCTGTTGGCAACAAAGTTTTCTCCGTGAGCAGAGCTGCAACAAGTGTGTTGAAGCGATAAATGCTTCATTTAAAGACGCCACATGTCGTGTGAAGCGAATATCAAGTCGCTGCTTCTTCTCTCTTCCCGTCTCATGTTTGGATTGGACATTTGAGTTTGGCAGAAGTGATGACATCGTTGTCTTCAACTTGAAATGATGCCACAAATTTAGATGTTTATGTATTTTTTACATGGTATTATTGTGCTGACGCATTAAAGAAGTCCACCTTCATGCAACAGCTGGAAAGAAAAGCTAAACATAACCTTTCTGGTTATGACTCTTGGAAATTGTATTGAAGCATTCTTAGCAGCAATATGGAATTCTACAATGTCTACATCTGTCTAGACCGCAGCCTGACCATTACTTTAGAAATGGTTGGTTCAATCTTCCACTAAGTGTTAATAGCCTTTCTTTAAACAAATGAAATCTACAAACTGAGCAAGGCAGTTTCTTTTATAACAATACCGTTAAACGTTGCTTAAACCATGAACACTATGGTGTAATGAGGTGGCTCCCTCTGGCCCAGTCAGTACCAGAGATGTCTGGAAACCTGTGGCCTGCCGTTAAAAAACAGCTGAATCCAAATTGCAGGTTTTTAGTCATTTGTTTTCAGTGAAAACAGTATTTAAAGAGTCGTCAGTTAATGGACGGTTAAAGTGCCAACTAAGCGCTTGTTTATGTTGGAACAACTTTGAGGATTCCCGGCCAACCTTCAGGAGAGCGTCTCGCGTGGTTTCTCTGCAATGAGCCAGGGCTTCCATAGAGCATCATACTGTATGACAGCAGTTCAACCCAGTGTGAATGGGACGGGCGACTGTGTGAGCATGCAAGTGTGTGTGTGTGTGTGTGTGTGTGTGCGAGTCTCTGTGTTTAAGTAGAATTGTTACAAGCCGGTGGGGTGTGTGTTTTTGAGTGTGTTTGGACCAGTTCCAGTAAAGAACTTTGCACTTCATCGCCAGTTGTGTGTGTGTGTCTCCTGCCTGAGTGTGACAGAGTGAATGCATGTGTGTCTAGAGAATCATCTGTCTGTCTTCGTGTGTGTGTGTGTGTGTGTGTGTGTTACAGGTCTAGCGGGTGGTCATAAGTGTTGTTATTGTCCTCTGTGTCATCGTCGTCATCGTTTGCCAGCGGGTTGCGACTGATGACCAGCTCCAGTCGGTCCCCAGCCTCCGTGATTAGAGGCACCGCCAAGCAGCAGTCAAAGTCCCTCGTCCTCACGTGGTTCACCTGGACGGAGACGGAGAGACGCAGACGGCGGCTGCTCTGGTAAACGGTTCTGCTGTTGGTTCGCTGGCTAACAAAGACTGAGACCAGCTATTGCTTAAAGTTAAATGATATTCACCATTACTTATCAACACAACAAACACAGAGTCTTTTTTCTTTCTTATTAATTGTTTGGTCTTTTGCACATGCAGGTCAGTTCATTGCCGTGGATGTCAACACCCTCAAAACATGAACTGGATTCCTCCATCAGTACCTGCAGGATCCTGTCGTAGGGTTTGAGCCCGGCTCGATCGGCGGGCCCGTCGGGTCGGATCATGTTGACGTACACTCCTTTCTCCAAGAAGCCGTCTGACACGCTGAAGCCAAAGTCGTCGATCTCTGGGTCCTTTACCACCGTCACCTACCGACGACGGCACAAAGATGTGAGGTGGAATCTAAACCTTTAACTCAGTTTAGAGTAATCCAAGTTTAAATGTTCATGGAAAGCATCTGTGACAGTTAAGCAGTAAAGCAATAATCTATCAAACCACCACAAAGACAACAGCTGACCAGCGGATCACCAGCTTTAAAGGAAATGATTGCTCAGTTGTGTGAGCTCCAAAAGACATTCAGTACAAAGAAGTCAACCATTCTTATGTCTCATCATATGCTCCGAAAATGAATTTGGCAGCCATTGGTCTAACGTCTGGAAGAAGAAAAGGAAGCAAAATAAATAAGGAAAGATTGCAATGAACGGTAAAAAACACAATTTCAGTAGCTTGAACGGATCGATTTTAGAATAAAAACACAGGCAACGATGGGCCACTGACGCCGAATGTTGGCATAGTGTGTCAAGCGAATCTAAACTTGAAGCAACATTATGCAACTTTTTTACAAGATAACAGCTTCAAAATAATTTTGATGGTACCCTGACTTGTAATAGAAAGAATGGCGCCTCTGAACGCTTGTTCTTGATCTATGTTTGTTGGCGAGCGGGTACGATCTCCGGAGAGAAATGCGTAACGCTTTACGGGACTATGTCACACACCACCAGCTAGCTATAAAGGAGAAGCTAGCTCGGTATTCTCAGTGTCTACATCATGGTAGAGGGGAAGAGGCCGAAGAAGACGTTGACAGAAAGAGCAAAAGCAACCCGACTCAGTCCTAAGAAGTCGAATACCGCAGCGTGGCCAGTGCCCCTCAGCATCTGACAGCGACATGTGGAGGGACTCTTTGGCCTCTGTGTGCGAACGCATCGGGCTTGCAACTAACTCCAACGTCAACACACCTGCGTTCTTATTAGACGCTAAGAGCAGCTGACGAAGTATAAAGAGCGAGAAAGTTCACACAAACAAACAAGACTTTCGTCCGGGAGATCGCCGTTCGCATCCAAGCAAGTTGTCACATCAGTCGTCAATAAAAAGAGTAACTCTTGGAACTACCGTTGGCGAGAGCTTCGCGAAATAAAAGTCCTCTCTGGCCTTCTTGCTGTTGGAACATATTAGCTGGCTCGCTATGTCTTGTGTTGTTGCATTTGCTTGATGTTCGGCTGTGTTAGCAAAGCTGTCGACACGTGTAAATTCCTGTAAAATGACTCGGCCCCGTCAGTCCTGGTTCTTTGGTGTCCGATGTCGTATTTGCTGGTTTCAGCTTGCCAATAAATACACATCCACAGCTGTCCACGAGGGGGACACGAGGAGGACACGAGGGGGACATTTGTCACATCCAACCAATTTTTGAGATGTAGCAATACATTGAATGAATTTATCGTTTTTTGTTTGTTTGTTAAACAAGTACAGAAAAATCCTCGTTTTCCTTGTAATTTGACTGCATAGCCAACATGGACGGTGGTTTCTGTATTGCTGCCTTGACAGACGGTGACAGGGATTGGTATAAGCTCCTTCAAAAGCAAAGCTTTGTGATACGATGTGGTCCTGCTGTACAGTATTCATACACGCTACATGCTTTACCGAATTAACTTTAAATGCACAAAGAATGCTAACAAACGACCACTGCTCAATACCATGCGATTGCAGGATAAATGCACAATGGAGGGTTTTTAAATGAATAATGCAGGCCAGATGTTTTGCTAAGAACTGTGGATTAACCAAAAACTGAAAAGGCATTATTATATAACGCATGAATATTCTATGTTCTTTTAATGAGACACCATTTAGAGGCTGTAACATGTTGGCTGTTGGCCAATGAGCCCATCAGTAAAAGCGATTTAGTAGAACTTTAATGTATCTTCTCCCTGTGGACGGCAAATGTATTTCTCATTCCGGCCCTGAGCTGCAGGAGTTTGGGCAGACTCTTGAATGAGGTCATAATTTGAATCCACAGGATGAGGACATGTGGCCGCCAGCAAAACTGTTGCCAAAGGGGGGGGGGGGGGCTAATATATTGTACATTCTTAATCTATAATCATGCTGTATTACACAATATCCTGCACTGTAAAAATGTATTTCTGGTAAAAAGGTCATTTTGATGGCTTTTTTTACTTGGACTGACTCGCTTGTGTCTGAAATCATTCACTAGCACAGCATTACAAAATGGCGAACTCACTATATACTGAGTTCGCCATTTTGTAATGCTGTCCGAATGTATAGTGAGCATTAATATAGCCAAGGTAGTGGACTCAAAGTATTGCAGACGGACGAGAGGAGAGCAGCACGATGGAGACGAATCCATACATTTTGGCGGGAAAAATAACTTATTTCATGTGAGCAGAGCATTATAACACAAACGGCCACAACGTACTTTGTATTAAAAAAATCTGGGAAATACCTCCCCACATTGACAACGGCAGCTTTAATCCCCTCGTTCCCTTTCACAATAAAAGCCCTATAGACATATATATTACATCACTGCCTACCAGGGGGAAATAAAGTCACTCAGAGTTAACTACACATAAACATCTATCACCAAAATGCTGGTCGGTATTTATTATGGATGGTTTAGCAGCCACCGTTGATCTGGCATGTTTTAAAAAATGACGCGAGTCGTGTCCGAAAGTGTTTTTTTGCATTTTGCATATGAGCTCATTATATAGACATCTATTTAGAACTCCATGGATAGTGAGCAGGCAGTAGTGAATGAGTGAATGATTTCTACTTCCAGTCTTAATTCCAGTATTGAATGGTATGGATCTCCTTATTAAGTCAATTTTGATTTACTTCAGATTTGCTTTTACTTCTTAGTGTTCACTCTCTACTCAAGGTCTCATTTTACTTCATATGATCAACATATAATCCAAGTCCTGAACCGGAACAGAAGCCCCGTCGTGACCGAGTCTTCGGGCAGAGTTCTGAACTCACTTTGTGCAGCTCCAAAGGCGTTGGAGACAGAATCCCCTGCATCTCCTCTTTGATCCGACGAGACTCCCACGTCCTCTCTGACACTCTCAACGAGGCCTTTGTCTTGGGCTCGTGGTGCAGAAGGGGAGATTGGTTATCTTGGTGGATGTGGGCCCCGTGGTGCAGGTGGGCCTCGTGAAGCAGGTGGGCTTCGTGGTTAAAATGGGCCTCCTGGAGCAGGTGGACATCTGGGGGGAATGAAAGGGTTATTTTTTTAATAGAATGTAAAGTATTACTACAAGCAGCCCTTCAATATACAGCAGCATGCTTGTACATACAGTTTTGCTGAGTTCAGTTTCCCTAAATTACATTTCTGATTTTTCTCTTTTTCTTTTGTCAGTCCTCTATTAAGGGCTTGGGGGACAACCACTTGTCACATCCGCCATCGAATTACCTTGGTGGAGTTGGGCCTCCTCGTGCAGGTGGGCCTCCTCGTGCAGGTGGGCGCCCTGGTGGAGGTGTGTGCCCTGGTGGAGCAGGTTTCCCTGGTGCAGAAGAGAATTCCTCCTCAGCGGGCTCATCCTGCTGTGGCTCAGCATGGACTCAGCTGGAGGCTTGTTGACACCGTCTACACCCAGACTGATGGCTGTTCCTGTCATGATGGATGCCTGCACCAACAAAAGCACACACAAACACACATACACACACACTTAAACCTCAGCTGAAACTGCTAGTTTAAGAGTGATATGGTTTTAAAAAAGCATCCGTAGCCTACATCAAAGTCTTGCCATTTGATGAGTAATGAAACGGTGAATGGTTATAGCTGCCATAGATTTGCTGTCGGCTATTTAATGTGCTGAAAAAATTCAAAATAGATATGAAATAGATATAAACGTACATTCAAAGCCGACCATCACTGTACATCACAAAGTAAATGAAAGAATAAAAAAACAGTTGCTGTGCGGACTATAATGAAGTGCGTGTATCATAGAATCATAGACTGTATGTAAGAAGTGGACGTAGTCATCGTGACGTCACCCATTGGTTTGCGGACTGGTGTTAAGCCCGAGTTTGGCTATTCAGCCGTCGGCATATTGTTTTTTTCGCAACAGATGAACAGAAGTTACCATATTTGGAATGGGGAGGAGTGACGTAGAGACGACGTAGCGTATACGTCTCTGGTAGTGACAGTGACCTGTCAATCACAGTAGCCCCGTCCTAAAGCATCCCCTGCTTTATGGTCTGTTTGACTCTAAATGGACCATAATGTACTAAATGAACATCATGCTGTATTGAAGAAGACTTGAAACTAGAGATTGAGCCCATAAACTCATGTTTACAATGTTTACTGAGGTAATAAATCAAGAGAGAAGTAGAGTCATTTTCTCATAGACTTCTATACAACCAGAGGAGTCGCCCCCTGGTGGACAGTAGAGAGAATGCAGGTGTAACATATCACTGTGACCAACAGGTCTTTTGTGGTCATTTCTGGGTTCAACCACTATGTTGAAGAATGTGAATGACTGAGTTTAGGTTGGAGGCGGATGCTCGCATGCTGACTGACCTCGATCTCTCTGAGTAGTTCTGATTGGCCGCAGGTCTCCAGATCCTCAAGCGCCTGACACCAGAAGCTGTCATCTGGATCCAACAGAATACCGTCCGGTTGGTGGCCAATAAATCTGTCACGCACAAAAACAACAAAGTGATATTAAATGAAGCTGCTTTGAAAATAAATAAGTGCGTTTAGCCACAAAGACAAACATACATGTTTGGGCAAACACTTTCTCTTTTAGTTGAATCTTGAATCTACTGCTGAATGCAGTCTGCACATCAAGTCAATCGGGTCGCATTATCAACAGAGCCGATATGAAAACAGAGCAGTACAAGTGCAGTGCAAGGCTATGCGTTCTGGTTTAATCCAACATGGGTAATCTTTTAACGCTGAATGTCCTTGACTGACAAGATTAATTCAGTTTCACTGCGCAGCGGATTTTGTTTTCTCGCCTCATCCTTCCTCTCCGTCTCTCCGCCCCCATCGGTGTTACATAACCCCCAACGAATGTTGCTATCCTCACAAGGCTTAACCATCACTACACACACACACACACACACACACACACACACACACACACACAGATACTGCTCAGTCAGTCTTGCTGGCTTCATGACTCAACCTCCATGATTCCACATCACCAGCAAACTCTCGGTGGTGATGCCGGCACAAGCAACCGGAGGATCGTTTTAAAAGATAAAACTCTGGTTTGTGTAAAGACACCAGAGCTGCGACAATATGCAATTAGAGAAAATGAATCAACAACAATTTTGATAATATGGAGTAAATTATGTAACTGGTAAAAATGGAGACCAGTGTGTGTGGTGTGGCAGGACAGTGATTGGCCTCCTTCCATATAAATGCAACCCTTAAATCAAAGCCTTGCCTATGATGTTTATGAGTTAGCGTATGTGAATAGATAGTTTTTCAAAACCTTTAGAACTAAAAAAATAGCTTTTTACATCATGAAATTAAATAATGGAACCATTACATTCAGTCCATTCTGTCATTTAAAAACTGTTCTGTGTGTTTGCTTGTTCTTTAGATCACAGCGAACCATTGTGGAAACCATCCTGCTGTGTTCCAGGCATCCACTGGTTTCCATCCATTCAAGTGAGAACATCGAGTAACAGACTCATAAAAGATACTTGAGTCGTGTTCATAAAGACTTTAAACTTTACATTATTTGTACAGGGTGAATCAACGCACGCTAAAATAAATCTGCTAAAATCAAAAGCAGATGCGATTAGCCAAAGTATGCAAGTTTCAAGTCTGCGATATCTTTGTTTTTATGTGGGCCAAAGAATTAACGGAAACCAACGTTCTGCCGGAACTGAATGAAAAGATCTGAAGCTGTCAGTAAAGGTGTGAAAGATGAACTAAGTCCAGTCCTACCCTGGTGGCTTGTCCCAGTCATCCTCACTGAAGCCTCCGTCACTGAAAGGGTAGTTCTTCCGGCGTCCAGGAGGTGGCGTGGTGCTGCGCTGCTGCTTGGCACTACGCCACTCATGGGGATGGAGGGCGATACCAGCTGCCTGGTGGTTGTATGTACCTGCACGAGGAGAGACGGTGCTCATCTACAGGCTGACACCGTCTATAGAAACACCCATTCTGGCATTCTAGATAAAGCTATTTGGATTTGTGAGTTTCCTTTGGATGCAGAATTATGTATCATCTTCTACCTTTTATAAGAGCTCAATATGTTCTGCAGTATACGGCCATGTTGGCATTTCACTGGACACGTGTTAATCTAAAGCTTACCCTGGCTGCCATAGCCGGCATCCAACCCTGAGCCGTCCCAAGACTCCATGGCCGAGTCGACGCTGGGTATAGTGGTGGAGTAAAGCTCTGACAGCTTGTTGGTCTGTTGGCTGTCCGTCAAATCATCCTCCTCTGGGTCACTGAGCTCGTTCTCTGTTGTGTCCTCTGCCTCGGCTGCTTTCCTCTCCTCTCCATCTTGGAGATAAGAAGTTGGAATTAGGTTTGTCTATTAAAATGAGCATCAAACAACAAAGAAATCTTCAGACAATAAGCCTTTTCTTCAGACAAGCAGGGCTGTAGTCAAGACCAACTTAATCGAGTTCAAGCCATGTCCAAGTCCAGGTCCAGTCGAGTCCAAGTCAAGACCAAGTCCAAAGCAAATCGAGTCCAAGTCAAGACCAAGTCCAGAGCAGATCGAGTCCTGTTCAAGACCATGAAAGGCAGAAGTGTCCTTCCAAAGCTAATGTAGTGATTCAAGAGTTATGATGGACAGAAATGAATATAAACAACATTGATCCATCTTCTAACATCAAACTAATCAATGCATAAAATTTAAGTTTGAGGCCCATTGCAAGAGGCGGAGGTCATAACAAGGCACGAGACCAGGAACAAGTGTTCTCGAGACCGGACTCGGGTACTCCAGCCCTGCAGACACGGTTGAATGCAAGTCAGCTCCAAAAACATGGACTTCAGGTCAGAGGCTCGGTGATCATTATAAAGATCATTATGATCAAAGTTATACCATCAACGGTTTTCATACATACTGTCGATCTGTTTCTTTATCTTGAGGGTGACCGTCTCTCCAGCCATCTGCAGCAGGTGGATGGCTTCACTCAGGGGCTTTCCTTTTAAACTGACGCTGTTGATAGCCAGGATCCGATCACCTACATGAATAGCCCCCGTCCTGGACACACAACGAAAAACACGACACGTTCACACACACATAGGTAGGTAAGAGGCCACACACACACACACAGACAAAGTTAAGTTAATCAACATGATTCATCTTGAAACCATAGTTTATATCAGCTCCAAAGAGATGACATCAATAGTAAATTGTTATCCAGCTAATGTTGTGCTGTTCGTACAAATCCATCCATCCATTTTGTTTCTGCTTATCTGGAGTGATGTCGTGGGGGCAGCAGGCTTAGCAGCTCTATACAAGATATATAATCTCTCCAGCGTGTTCTGGGTCTACCCTCCGGCCTCTTACCTGTTGGACGTCCCCGGAAAACCTCTAAAGGGAGGCGTCCAGGTGGCATCCTTTTCAGGTGTTGAACCACCTCCGAGCTCCCTTTGGATGCCACCCTGTGAAGGAAGCTCATTGCGGCCGCTTGAATCCGCAATCTCAGTCTTTTGGTCACTAATGCTCGGGACCATAGGCGAGGGTTGGCACATAGTTGGACGGGTAAATCGAGAGCTTTGCCTTCCGGTTCTGTTCGACCCGATACCGTTTGTATTTTCATGGACAGGATCTCAAGAAGCAGCCAGAGGAGGAGATAAGTGTCCGGTTTGGGGACCCTCTGCTCTTTGCAGATGATGTGGTTCTGTTGGCTCCATCAGACTGACCCCGCCCCCTGGAAGTCTCATCCAACTCACATCCAGAACTCACATTTACTCCCCTACTTCAGAAAGAAGCTCTTAAAACATTCAAGTCTGCTTTTAACCCCTAACCCTTTCACCTGTCTGTCAAAATTGCGTAATTTTTAAATATTACTCTCCATTTTATCCCCTCTGTAAAGTGTCTGAGTCTTTTGAAAAGTGTTTCCTAAATAAAATGTATTGTGATTATTATTTGAACTTGACCTTCGACATGCAATGGTGGTGCTTCCAGGTCTGTGGCCACGGTTCTCAGTTCTAAAGCAGTGGATTGCGTCCTTCAGGCTGGGAGTGAGTCAGTGCCCCGAGCGGGGGAGTTCTGTTCAAGTACCTCGGGTCTTGCTCACAAGTGAGGGTGAAATGGAGCAGAGAAATTCTGCCTTCCTGTAATTTGTGTGAACTGAACCTTTGACGTTTTAGAAAAGCCAGATTTTCCTAAAAACCTTTTCAACATTGAAAACAGGACCATGATCTAACGCTGAGCTCATTATACTTGATGCATGCAGACACACAAGGCTGCAGCGCCGCAGACATACCGTCACTGTTTACAGCTCAGATTTGGGTTCAGGAAGTTAAATTATGACTGTTGACTAATTTAGGGAACTGCAAAGTGACCCTGTTTACTCCCACCATCACTGGCCGCTGCATTAAAGCTAGTGTAACATGTAAAGCAGTCCTTTATCTTGCTTCATTGATAGAGGGGTTATTCATCTTGATATCTCATCTCATACCCGCTCAAGGACCCGTACATCACATGGACATGCGTAAGAGATTAAAGTCAGAAAAGTGTGTAACAAAAAAAAAAGCGGAGTTGGTGTGAACACTCATGAGCCACACAGATGCTGAGACGTTGCACTTTCTCCACGTTTATTTATAGAGCTCTTTCAGCCAACAGGTCGGAGGCAAAGTGCTTTCATCGACAACAGTTTAGAACAGGAAATAGAGCAACTGCATGCCAAACTCCACGGAATGGAGGTCACAGAGTTTGTATGGAAGTGTGGCGGTGCAAGCAGTGACCCGCCTCCCTGGGTACTTCGGTGGAATAACACGTGAGCCGGTTATAAAAGCCGACATTTTATTGTGAAATAAGCGCTGTGTGGCAGACTGGAAGCTGAGTTCACCAGCGGATGCTTGTGACTCAGGAAAACCATTGTGTCGTATTCTGCTCAGCCTCGTTACTGTGGACGCCAGCCGTCTCTCCAGCGCATCGTGTTTCATCGGTCATCCCGCCGTGTCACATGGCACCTGCTGCACACTCAGCTGCTGGTGGGGAATCCCTCTATTTATTGCCCATGGCGTCTTCTATTATTTCACCTCATAAGGGTTTTGCCCCACTGCTCGGGGGACAACATACTGTAAGTTGGTCCTCTTCATCTGGATGAAGGATCTTGAGCACACAAGATGACGATTACTCCTTTCCACACAAACGTGTGTGTGTGTGTGTGATTGATTGTGCCCCTCTGTGTTTGTCCACAGCTAGTTCCGCAAACTGAATAACATTTTTTGGAGCCCAGTCATGGCTGCATGCTCAAGGACCTCTTGTGGTTGCGGTGACTAACACTTTCTCAAAATAACTTTTACTGGCTGTTTTATACGGCCGTTGACCGCCTGCTGACTCCTCACTCGCTACTCTTCAGTGATGATGGAGCTGATGTGCATCGACCAACCCACAGACACCGCTCTGCGGCCGGAAACACAGTGGAAACAGTTTGCTCCCTTCTGTTGTTTTGGACGTTGTGTTTGGCTAACAGATAACCGCCAATGGAACGACCAGTACTCAGACTGTGTTACCTTGAATACTTGAAGAAAACCTTGTTTTTCTCACATGCCTCTACGGTAAATAACTTAAAACGTTTCCACATGAAAGGATCGCAGGCAACACACGATTTAAAAAGTAAGGTTTTTGGCAGATTTCTTAGTTGATCATGGAGGTGTGTGAATAAAGTCTTCTTTAGTGTTACGGGTGACTAATGGATACGCAAATGGTCCTTCTGTGGGTAAAGTATTCCATTAACACCGTAATGCAATCCTGAGCAGAGCAGACTTGTTAAAATAGATCGGTTGTCTGAAACGGATTACAAAAAAATATCTCTGGCTCCACAGTCTGCCTGAAAAGCCCCGGAGACAGAGGAAAGTATGTGCTCCATGTGAACAGATCCATCCAGCAGTTAACGAGGCTGTGAAACATGATACTGTGGGAAGGTGGGACCACCGCCAGCACACATTTCCACCGTCCCAAAAAAAGATGCCGAGAGTGTTTCATACATACTCAACTTTTTTAGTACCATTTCAAATCTACATATTAGAACAAGGTTTAATTTTACACGAGAACCAAGTGTTCCTTATTGCTGCCAGCAGAGAGGACGTCGTGTCCACCCTCAGGACGTCTTGTGTAAGCTGCAGGTGAGATGTTTCACATTGTGTAAGTCAGGAAATGAGATCTCGCGCTGGTTCATTGCCTCTCCTGAAGGTGCACAAAGTGTGTTTTTGGAGTGAAACTTGCACGTTTGATGTCTTGAATGCCGACGAGGTGCAATTATAAAAAGGTACATATTACAGTGATCATCAATACGGACTTCTTTTCATCTGAGCAATAGCTCACAATGTGGATGAAGTGGATTCAAAGTTGCCAACCTATCTATGCTATGTAGCCTAACTTAAAGATAATATCAGACAGTGTGTGCCTCGCTCTAGGAAGCAGAAGTGAAAATGAGTCATCCTCAACATTTGTCCTGTTGTGGTTTCACAATGATGAAGACAACTAGAGACAAAATAGGATGCAGGCTCTACAGGATGACTTTCTGTTTCCTTGTTCACTATCATGTTGTTTCCAAATGATGTACAGATGTTTAGGTATTCTTTATCAAAGGAAAAAGTCCATACAGCTGTGGTAAAGATGCCCCCCAACCTCCCTGTAGGTTTGAGCTGAGCCCCGAATGTATTTTAGTTTAGTTTTCTCCAGAGTGAATAGTTATGTAAGCTTTAGCATCACTTGACACTAGTTGTCTTATTCTGTATTCGCACTATGAGCAACACAGCAACAGACTACAAATCATTTGCAATGACAGGATCTAAGACGCGCTGCAAATCAAAGTTGAGCCGGTCTGAATTATTTTTAAGCGCTCCAATGACGCGGTGAAACACGAACCAACCACGTGTTTCTGTTTCTTTCTCTTCCGTTACATCCGACAGTTCCCGGTGCTATTTAACGGCATGACTACGAGCGCTTGAGCGACACTTCACTCGTCTTGTGAAGACGACATTAGTTGTGTTTTGTGCTACGTTTGTTTGCTGAAGCAACATGTTAAAACGTGTGCAAAAAGGAGACAAATCTCCAGCTGCAGTGCCTTTCTGTAATGCTTCAAACTAGACTCCCCAGAAAAAGACAGAAAATGAGTGCGTGTGCGTGGGAGAGCACGTACCTCTCAGCCAGGCCTCTCTTGGTCAGGCCGGATATAGTGATGGGGTCAAAGGGCTCCTCGGTGCCTGAGATGGTGATACCCAGAGGGCCTCCATACCGCTTCAGCTCCACTGTGTAGATGATGCTGCCCGACGTCTCCTGCTCATCTGATGCACACAAGGACACACACAGGCAGACGCGCCCGTGTTATTCAATTGTTTCAACTCCAACGAGTACACGTATGCATGTTGCTCAACGCACGCACGCACACGCACACACACACACACACACACACACACACACACACTAAAACCTCTTCCGTTCACCTGGTGGTACTGCATCACGTTATCCGTTCATGTGAGATGCACAATGCTTCTCTCCAGAAGTAGGTCAAAACTCTTCTCAAGACAACAATGGTGAGGAAGACACAGTTTCCATGGTAACTAAGCAAGAGACTGCCTCGTCATCATGTAGCATGAACACATAATCTGACACATTAATACGACGCTGTCTGTCTGTGTGCATGTGATCATATCATCCGAGTCATAATCTAGGGGAACGGGATCTCTTCTTCACCTCCAATGTGTTGATTAAACAGATCCAAGATGGCGGCTGTTAAATGGGTAACACAGGTCATTTTCTTACAAGTTCTTACTCTATCCCATGTGTTTCCTTTATTGCTTTTTTAACGCTATGTTATTTGGAAACTTGTATTGGATTTAATTATTTCCAATAGTTTCTGTTTCCCCACTGGCATCAATAAAAGGTCATCTTTGAGTGTTTGACCAAATCAAAGCTGCATCAGGAGTCCAGGAGTTGTGAACAACAGCAGCACCTGGTGGTTAGAAACTGTCATTGCGTCTCCTTAAAACTGATGCTGAGAAATGAGTTTGAGTTGTGCAGCGATCCTTCCCTCACATTACGGTTCGACTGCACTCAACCATTCGCTACATTCGTACCCGAGTTGTCTTCATCTTTGCGTATCTTTAGCTTGACCAGCTCCTCGCACTGCTGCAGGATCTGCTCCGCGTCGTCTTTGGAGCAGTTCTCCAGCCTGATGTTGTCGATGGCCAGCAGCTTGTCGCCGGGCTCTAGAGTTCCTGTTCTGAAGGAGAGAACGAGATAGAGAGAGATAGAGATAGAAAGAGATAGAGATAGAGAGAGAGAGAGATAGAGATAGAGATAGAGAGAGAGAGAGAGAGAGAGAGAGATAGAGATAGAGAGAGAGAGAGAGAGAGAGAGAGAGAGAGACACACACAATGACACCCTTGATCTTCCTACTACTGCATACTGGGTATTTTGGACAGTGGATGGGCCAACTTTGAGTTGAGCATTAAAATACATTAGAAGAGAGATGCAGCAGACTAGAAGAGGCTGTGGGATACCTGTGGGCCATGCTGCCCTTCTTGATGTCAGAGATGATGAGGGGCTCTCCTTGCTTCTTACTGGCTGTGGAAGAAAACGACGTCACACTAAGCATCAGAAACAACAAACTAACAAGTATATGTAGCATGCATTCCAAATGTTAAAATAGTGTCAATACTATTAATGATAATGATAATGACAACACAGTAACACTACGTCATCAACACAAAATGATATCATTGAATACATTTTGTATTTGTCTTGAGATAAAGGAAGAAAGGTTAAATCTATTTCATCTACATTTGTGTTTTTCCATAGAATGTATAGTTGTACTCTTCACAAATCAAAAACTCTTTCTCAGACAACGAGACATGATTAAGTCTTCTGTCCGGCTCACAGGAACCAGGTCTCCTCTCTGGTCGGCTGCTGCAGCAAAATAACAATCTGGAACTGAACATCAGCAGAACTAAAGAACCTGGTGAGAGAGAGAGAGAAAGAGAGAGAGAGAGAGAGAGACTACAATCTCCTACTCCCTGAAAACGTGAGGAGAGCTTGGCCATCATCCAGAGGAAGACTATTGTTTTTACAACAGCTGAGAAAGAATTGTGTGATTCAAAGGTTGCAACCTTTCAGTTCTGCAGCGCGGTAACGCGTGCTCGCCTCAATAACTGTAAGTTGTGGTGATTCTACAGCCGACAAGATAAAAGGTCTGACAGACGTAGTCGTGAGAACAGCTTCAAAAGTAATTGGCAGTGGACTCCCCACCGTTCCTGAGCTGTAGCACATAAGACATTAAGACATTTTAAAGAACTCCTCACACTCTGCAAAGCCTCCGTTTAGTCGTCGGGTAGATTTAATCTTGACTGAGGAATGCTGGAAACGTTCTGACGGCATCGGAATGATACTTTGTCACATTAAATCTCTCTCATGCTCGTATCATGTTGACCAGTCCAGTTGTCAGACGGCCTCGTGTTGTTGCTCCGTGAGTCTCCTCACGTTCAGCAGTGAACACTTGCATTCAGAAGGTGGCACCATTGCACCGTTCTGTCTCAGAGTCGGCCACAGTACAGCCTGTTATTCATACTGTAGCATCATGAAGTAGAAATTATCTGGTTTCTTTCGGTCATATAAAAGCAGTTTGATACATCGTAACAGAATCTCATCCCCACAAGTATCTTTTTACTTGTTTGCACCAAAACCTGTGTGAGCCAGTGTCTGGCGTTGTTCTACAGAGATCACAGTAAGGATCTATATTTGGTGTAAACTGGGCCAATGTCACGTGAAATGTACTATTTTATCTTTGCAGAATGGTGAGGATAAGTGCATCTTATCTAAAGTAGATTGCGATATGCCACAGAAAGCTCTGTCCAAACATTTACATTAACATGGCGGGTTGAGCACTCGACCTGCCACTGAGCTGCTACTTAAAATAATACAGTATACATCGGCATGCTGAAGTATACACACATTCCAGACTAACAAGTTATTATATTACCAGCAACAGCAGCGCTAAAGCTTTACACTGAAGTGTATCGGTCATCACAACAGCAACAACAGTGCAGAATGGATCCACTATGTTTAAAATACACTGGAATTTACGCCAAAAGTGTGAACATGATAGTTTGGTAACTGCACCAAATAACGTTTTACTAAATTGTAAATGCATGGTTATTAAATCTGTGAGGCCAAAAGCATGTGGATACCCAAATACAATAATGCTGTGAACACCTGAACGTTACATTATTCTCCTGCAGCCTCCAGCCTCCTGGGAGGTTTAGGAACCAACACACGGGTCACTCTTCAGTGTGTGCGACGCACCGGGATTGAAACTAACTCCAACGTAAACACACCCTCGTCCTCATTAGACGCTCAGAGCAACTGACGAGTCATAAAGAGCGAGATCAGTCCGCACAGACCGGGAGGGTTAAACTAACGCGGGACTTTCATCCAGAAGACCGCTCTGCCTGTCCTGTGCACATCGTCACGTGACCATGGCTGCTCGTGTGACTCGTTCGTCACTCTGTAGTCACAAAACCATTGTTTTCCTACGGTACGTTTTCCAGACAGTTTCTTTTAGACGCGCACAAAAGTTACAAAATTTTCAACTTTTCAGCGTAAGGTGCGAAGTCGCACCGCTCGTCAATGTCACGCTTGACCGAGGCGGCCAATCAAATCAAGCAAGAGGCGGGCTTTACCACTTTACCCGCTGACTTCCTGTTTTGATGCCGGTGAATGTGGTAGAAGGTGATATTAGTGATAGTTAATTATGATGATACTATGTCATTTGTTTTGTGTGAGTGTGTGTGTGTGTGTGTGTGTGTTTGAAGAAGCACAGGGTGGTCTACCAGCAATTCAAACACATAATAGTTCATATGAGAAGTGTTTGGTGTGTGTGTGTGTGTGTGTGTGTGTGTGTGTGTTCTTACCACTGATGGTGAGCCCCAGCTCCACTCCTCTTTTCTTCGGCAGTTTGACGTGGAATGTACCACTACTAGGCACCACTGACTCTGTGATACAAAAACACAAGCAGAAAAGCCATTATTATTATTTAAAAAAGAAGGAAAGCAACAAACACTAATAAGTCTTTTCATCCCGCTTAACATTTGTAATTACGAGGCATTCAGCTCTCTGCTCTTATCTCCCTCTGAACTGCTCTTCTCCGGGGCGAACAGCGACTTTAAGTCCTCACAAGCCTGCGAGAGTCACGATACTAATTCCACCCGTAAAACAACTCTCCACTCAGGCGTAAACATGGCGGCTTTGTAACGAGCGCCACACTTCAGGATGCTGTAAACTCTCCAAGAAGCTCTCATCACTCACCGACGCTGCAAACAGGAATATTGAGGTCATTAGCGGTCCGTCGGTCAGATTTCCTTGCGTGTTAAACTTATTTACTTGAACAGTGTTGTGCCTCACGGTAAGTTCATCCCATTCAGAGCTGTCGTACTTATTTTAAGTAGAGCGATAGTTCCGCTTGGGAGTTGACTGCATCAGTGTTTGGGGTTGATGGCCGGGTAAGAAATTATTCTCATTTTTTATCTGTTTATAGAATAAATGCTAATTTCATAATTACTTCCGGCTCATTAAGTGATGCAACATTATGAAAGGCAATACCGAAAACAGGATTTATAACCGCAGAGCTCCAATCAAGTCAAATGAACTCCAAGTGTCTCACAGTGTGATTATAACGTAGATTTGAACAGTTTGCACCCAAATAAATATATGAAGTAGGAAAAAACCATGAAGTTTAATTGATTTTATAGAAGTTGTTTTTCTTACTTCAGGTAATGGTTACTGTTTTAGTAAACAGGCCTAAAGTTACTTTGACAGTTTATGATGAAGTTCAATTGAAAGGATAAAACCACATTAAACTAAAATAATTCATCACAAGAGAGTTCCATGAATGAGCGTTCTCTTCACGTAAACGTAGTTTAGTTTGAAGGACGGATGCATATTGTGTAGCCGTGTTATTATGTAGAGTCATGTCCATATAAGGCCATTTCTAAAATCCCCTGCTCTAATTGGATGACATCACTTTAGGTTTCCTCCCGTTTGAGTCGCCCTCTCTCACACTAAAGGTCCTTCGGGGAGTTTTAAACTCCAGCAGCGCTACAGAGACGCTTTGTTCGTCTCATGCAAAGTGCACGAGGACGCACGTGAACACGCAGCGCCGCCAATCACGTCTATTCACTGATCTAGACGCCAAGATTCACTGCGAAACCACAGAAAGAACGGGGAAGGAGAAGAAGACTACTAGCAAGTAAATGGGGATATAAACAACGTAGGATTTTAGAATAGTTTAAAAGTAACAGGTTTGCAAATGTGTTAAGAGGAGCCCGAGGATACACACGGTGAGCTGAGGTGAGTAACACTGAAAGTAAAGATTCAACTTTTCTCCTCAGAGCTACTTTGATGTAACTTTAATTAAACAACAAGAAATATAAGAAATGACACGCAGCACACTGCTCATCCTACAGGTCTCCCACCCATTATATATATATATATATATATATACATATATACATATATATACATATATACATAAACATATATATATATATATATGTGTATATATATATATATACACAATGTTAACAATCAGCAGGTTCACTTCAAATAAAAACTTAATGTATTATTTGAAAATGCAACCGGAGGACTTTTCTTCACCGTAGCGATTAGAATGCAGGACACTAAAACACTGCTGTTGACTGGTAGGGCGTTCGTGTGGCTGTTCCACGGGGGGTTAAATGCACGTACACGTGGCCATGCCCTGCACTGAAGAGCTGTAATCATTCTGACACAAAGAGCTCTTGGCAGCTGAGTTTGACCGGTTCACATCTATCACCACATTCTGACCGCTAAATACTTGCAAATAAATGATATACGTTAAACACTCAATTATGCTCCACGAAAAGGGTTTCAACCCTCACGGATGACGCAATTTACAACATCCTGTAGCTGACATGAGCTCCGGTAGAGCCGAGCTGTACCAATGCAGAGAAGTAAGCACGCTAATTATAGACCTTTCATTGCCATCCTGCTGCTAGGGCAGCAGCTTTGGTCTGAGTGTATTTCCTATCGGCTGATGCATCAACAACCATTAAGAACAGGAAACACAAAGGGCCTTCATGACTTCAAGTTTGGAAAGGACTTGTGAATATGGTGAACTTCCTGTTGACTTCACAAACCTGCCACGTCGAATTCTATCTCCAGCGAGACCTTATTGGTCAGCGCCGCATCCCGGAGCAGCTGATTGGCCTCCTCCAGTGTTCCGTCTTCTGTGGGGATCCCGTTGATTGACAGGAGGCGGTCTCCGACCTGCAGCAGGCCACACCTGCAACAGGAGATGTCAGATAGATTGGAAACATTGGACATTTACCATCTGTACATCATTACATTAATGTTATGTTTGGAGACTCAAATTTAGATTTATCCAATTTATTTTGCTTTTCTTAAAACAAAGCAGGCTTTATGAAGTGGGGATGGTATCCCTTACAAGTTCTAATAGACCTTGGGAAAGGCAAAGGCTTGTCAAAGGTGGTACTGTCAGTGTCTATGAAGCTATTAATAAAGGGGTTCAATCAGGAATCCTCTGGGTTTCAGTCTGAATGGCCCATAAAGGTTCCTCAAAGCAAAGAGAGAGGAAGGTTTACAAAAACACACGGAAATAAAACATGTTTGTGTTGCTATTTTCTGTGCCTATTTAGATATAATTACCTCCAGGGTTAAAATGCTCCCAAAGGGGGAAGTAAACCGAAACACGTAGGAGTACTAATCGTCAGTAGGCTCGTACCTGGAACGTTTTGTTTTTTTTCCCCTTTAATTCATTTGACATCAACAGATGACGCCTGAAGGAGCTTCAGACCCCCCTGCTGTGTCACATACCCCATTATTTTTAGCTACTGTAAATTCAAAATGCTGCTGTTCGGATATTAAAGATTTCTGTTACCAAAACATCCACCATTCAGACACCCCCAGAGCTGGCTCCTCGCTACATAAATCAGCTCTGAAATGAGAGTGAAGCACATTAGCGCTGACTGTTGAAGTCATTCATTTTGGAAATACCTCTCCATGGCAAAATGGAGGTATATGATGAAGGAGTCCTTCCACCTCTTTGAGGTATCGGCCTGTGAATTTGAGCAATTTTGGTGGTAAAGCCCCGTTTAGAGCTTTAACTGCATTTCAAGTCGTTCCAGTTAAACAAGGCACTAATGGGAACAAATCCACGATCCGTCTTCTGCTAACCGGCCTGTGTAAGCATAGACACACCACACACAAAGAACTGTTCACTGTCCAAGAACAGACCCTCACCCTTAGGTAGCAAATACTCCTCCTTCTTTTTAAAGCCAGACAGTTAGCTTAGCATGTTAAGAACTCCAATAAACACAACACTTGACTTGTTTGGTATTTAAAGATGCTCACAACCATAGAATGCATATGAGAAGTGGACGTAGTCACCGTGACGTCACCCATTGGTTTGTTTGACTGCTGTTATGAAGCCTCAAGTTTTTCCGATTTCGCCGTCGCCATCTTGGATTACGGCCGTCGCCATGTTGTTTTTTCACAAACAATGAACAGAAGTGACCATATTTGGAATGTGGAGGAGTGACGTAGAGACGGCGTATACGTCTCTGGTAACTGCAATGACCTGTCAATCACAGTAAGCCCCGCCCTAAAGCATCCCCTGCTTTATGGTCTGTTTGACTCTAAATGGACCATAATATACTAAATGAACATCATGCTGTATTGAAGAAGACTTGAAACTAGAGATTGAGACCATAAACTCATGTTTACAATGTTTACTGAGGTAATAAATCAAGAGAGAAGTAGAGTCATTTTCTCATAGACTTCTATACAACCAGAGGAGTCGCCCCCTGGTGGTCAGTAGAGAGAATGCAAGTTTTAAGACATTTCTGCAAAGGCATCGCTTGGCAGGACCGGAGGATGCCGCCTGCTCATAACTAGAAGTTGCCAACCTTTAGAATTGCCAACAGACGTCAACCAAAAACCAATGCACAACTAGAAGACCTCCACCAAGGCCGTTCACATAAGCGCAAATATGATGCGTGTCCACCCTATGAATCTGTTCCTTATATGAATTGGGTCTTTCTTGGCATATGCTACACCCTCCCGGCTGATAATCAATTCTGTTAAAAACTCTGCAGCAGACCAATACATCAACTATATCTGCTCACTGCATCTACAATTTGATGAAACAAAATACTTACAAACATCATAACACGATTTGGAATGCTCTCAAAAGGAGCCGGACCAACAGCGTACCTAAACCACAATCAATAGTTCCTAAAAGGGGTTATGAATATGACAACAAATAATGAATGCACAAATCTCATACATTAAAGTGTGTTCTTTTGATTAACGCAGGACACATTCTATATGGTTTTAGGTCGCTAACGACAATGTTACTATTCTATTCTAATGCTTGTTTCCTGGTAATATTTTGTAATGATTTTTTGATGATTCAATTTACATTTTTTGGTTTGGTAGATGTTTTTTTTCCAAAGTGTTCCCATAAGACTTTCTGTAATGAAGTGAAGTTTGGCTCACTTATACTGTACATGCAAGTAGCACTTTGCCATTGACATGAGCTACTGAGTTCCAACAGAAAGGTTCACACCGTAGGCAGGGGAACCTTTGATTTTATCCCTCGCCATCGCTCTGATAGTTCAAACTATTTCAACTTTGACCTCGTTTCTCCAATGACCTGAAAAAAAGCCTCGACGGATGGAAATCTCACTGTCTGTGTGTCAGATCACCACCGTTTACGATCAGAGGAGGAAGGTTAAACCTTCAGTGATTAAATGAATTAATGAGGGAAAAGTGGACCACGGTTTTTACTTTGTACTTTTGTCTTTGTGTGACTCGAGGGTCAAAAGTCACGACTGTGGTTTACAATCTGTGCACTGGACTAAAGTAAGAGCCACGTTATTAAATGCTGCTAAAATGATCACAGTAGTTCTCCCTTTGTGGCCCAGAGGAGACTTCTGACAGGAGGAAATGAAGATGAAGTGACTCGCCTCGCTTTAACTGCCTCGCCGTGATGCCACACACACACACACACACACACACACACACATCTACACAGTTGACATATCCTCCATTTAGCCATGAGTGGGTGACCTGTATTAATAATACACAGTCACACATCTTCATTATGATCTATTGAGTATTAAATTGCTTGCCAAGACTATCGGCATTGTCTCGCTGTACCCTCTCTTTTTCCATTTTTGTTCTCCTCACTTCTTTCCTTTCTTTTTCAATACATAATTGTTTACAATGTTTACTGAGGTAATAAATCAAGAGAGAAGTAGAGTCATTTTCTCATAGACTTCTATACAACCAGAGGAGTCGCCCCCTGCTGGTCGGTAGAGAGAACGCAGGTTATACGACTCTTCCGCATCGGCTTCACTCGGCAGAACCGGAGGTTGTCACCTGTTTCCAACTTGCTCACAGATGCCTCACAGCTTACACAGCAACGAGTGGAAGTTAGAATTGGAATGCAAAGTGGCTCACTGCTGGCGTGTGGTTTCTGGGGACCGCTATAGCGTACATATTTAAAATGTAAATACTAAATAATATTCAGCGTTAATGGTAATAATTACAGGTTGAAACCTTGCACCGGTGCACACAACTTATGGTTCTAAAGACTGTTAAGTGTAGTTCAGGGTGGTGTGATGGGGTTTATTTAGTTTCGTCCTGACAAAGCGGGGGGGGAGGTACTTATCGATTCCTCCGGCGTGGGCGAGGGGAAGTTAACTAATTAGTGTTGTTAGTGTGGGCACTAATGGAGAAGGGAGGGTGGCCTCGGGGTGCAAAAACACACCCAGCACTTAGAGAGGCTGCTAATACGACTGCGACAACAATCAGTATAGACTACACACACACACACACACACACACAATTAACAATTCACACAGAGAGACTTAAATTAAGTTGTGACGGATCTGGGACACACACTTGCATGCCAATATTTGGAAAAACCCACCTACACTTGCATGTGAATGTCGCTTAAAAGTGTACATACACCCACACATCGCACAGAGCCAAGCAGAGCTCTTAATACACCGCCAGCATCAGTCTAACACACACACACACACAGAAGCACACACACACAAGCACTAACACTGACATGCACACAGGAAAGCTAAGTAAAGCAGCTAATGCAGCATTAAAGTAAGCACATGTGCACAGACACACACACACACACACACACACACACACACACAAGGTCAGTCTGGCTGCACTGGCTACAACAGCTTCATCACACAAATACAAATGTAAATCCTTCCAGTTAGGCCGAACTAACATGTCGCTATAGTGTAGTAACGTGTATCTTAAGTACACAACAGGACATTCATTGATAAAACAAAGTAGTAAAGTATTAGAACTCTTTGGCACTCTTAGAAATAAGGGTACCAAACAGGTTCTCCCTGAAGGGCTGAGGTTCCAGTTAGAACCATTAGCTTCTGAATAACCCTTGTTAGAAGAAAAGGGTCTTCAAGGGTTATTTACAAGACTCAAGCTTTGTTTATACTCGTGCTTAGCACCATAGCGCCAGCTCCGAGCATGCATAAAGATGCCTTTGTGCACGCTCGATGCGCTGCTTGTTGCATTATTCTCCAAAACACCAGAGGGCGAACAAACAAAATGAACTGTGGAGAATCAAGAAGACGAGTGTAACCAGCAAAACGCTATAAACCAACCTCCTCAATTAACTCATATCTCATATTCATGGGCTACTTTATTGCCTTAGTACGAGAACTGTAGGTCAAGTATTAAACTAAAGCCAATGATCCATGGGTAATGTAGTATATAGTTCATAACCAAGTCTATACAGGCTATATACTGTATGTATATTTACACTATCTTATGTACACATAACTCCACGTTTGCTTAAGTGCGTTGGATATTGATCAAGCAACGCTGGCAGTGTGCATCATTGAGGAAGTGAAGTGACGTTTGATGTTGTGGCTCCAAAATAAAAGTCTCACTTAAAACACAAAGTTTTTAGATGTTCTTGGTTCAAAAAGGAAGTAAATCACAGAGCGGACACATTGGTGAAGAACATAAAGACGTCATGTGCCGTTCATTCACGCGTGAACGTGTGTGTGTGCGCGTGTGTGTATGTGTGTGTGTGTGTGTGTGTGGGTGGGTGGGTGGGTGTGTGTGTGTGTGTGTGTGCGCTCACCTCTCTGCAGAGCTGTCGGGCTCTATGAACCGGATGAGCGGGGGTGCGGAGAGCGTTTCCGTGGCGAATATTCCTCCCTGCAGCTGGACACCGAAGCCGTTGAGGGGGTCACCTGTCAGGACGACCTCGCTGGTCTCTACATGAACCACCTGACCACCCGGGCCCACCGAACTGGACGCCAGGGACACTAAACACACAAAAGATGTTATTCCTTTCCCTTCAGGGACATGCTATCATAGCACGGACAGAGTGAGACATATGGAGCTTACAGGAGCTTTTGTGCTCTTTCTTTCTCTGCCGCCGTTTGAGCAGCGAGTTACGTGGACTCATGGGAACCGTAGTCCTGGGCAGGGTGCTGGAGCTCTGGCTGCTGGGGCCCGATGTGGTGGTAGAGCCGGGAGAGAAACTGGCAGATACCAGAGCTGCAAAAATACAGAGAGAAAAGATTTTATTTCAATATTATGTAAAACAACAGTATTGTTCGTTTTTTTGTCTCTTCGTTGTCAATTTGAGTCTCTTTCATGTTGGTACTTGTCTTTTTAAATAAAGTTTTGTAGGTGAAGGCCAGAGGGGCCCCTGACACTTTTGGCCCCTGGGCCTGCGCCAAGTAGGCTCGTCCAGTTACTCATCCATGTTTGGCTCGTGTGAGTACGTGGGTTTAGATGAGAGGCCACATCTGCCTGAGGTCCCCTGTTTCACCATGTAACATGAAAACATATGAACTTCCTGACAGTAAAACAGAGTTAAATAAAAGTAATAAGCAGCCGAATGAATGAATGAACAAGTGGATAAACGGGAAGAAAAAGAGAGACAGAAAGAAACACTGTTGTATTGCCACTGCGTCTGTGTGTGTGTGCGTGTGTTTGTGTGTTTGTGTGTGTTCTTACTCTTGCAGTAGTCCAGGTTGTTGATGGTGTTGTTGTTGGAGGCGGTCCACGACTTGTTGAGGGTGGCGCTCGTGTTGCAGAGGGTGGCGTTTGACGGGTGACAGTAGTTCACACAGGGGTCCCACGAGTGCGGGTGGTCCGACTTCTGAACCTTCACTGGAACACACAAACATGATTTTGTTACTTGTGAAGGAAGCGTTTAGATATTTTTACTTTTGACATGAATTTACTAGACGAGTGCCCTGACCCTTAACTTGAGTTAACATGTCTAACTTTGACCTAACATCTCGCACAACCACCATCGTACGTGATCGTATCTCTCGGTTCTGCTAGCGAGGAAAGGGACGGCAACCGGCCTGATACAGCTGTGACAAACTGTGCTAGCTTAGCGTTAGCTACATGATTTGGGACTTTGAGGCAGCTGTATCGGCTTTGAGGTAGACAAGGTTCTGTTCCATCTCTGTTAATAAAACACACCTGAACTCATGACTATCACTGTAACTAGTACTATTACTCGTACTAGTACTATTTCTCGTACCAGTACAAGTACAAGTACTGATTAGCCTCAGAGCTTTTGGCCGCCACGGTAGCTCACCTGGTAGAGTGCGTGCACTAGTGATGTTTTTATTATCTGCACCTAGCCGACCCATAGATATCCATCATCACCGTTCAATAAAGCATAAATGCCTCTTCAGATTGTTCAGTGGATCACCGTTGATAGAAAAAGGAATAAATAAAGTAGCTACTGTTTGTTATTGACTTTGTGTTACCGTCCATTGCTTGGTAGCAGAAGGCAGAGGTGAGATCACATGAAGGTGTGTCAGGCTGCATTTCAACTCATTTATTCCCCCAAAATTTTGAAGAATAACAGACGACCATAAACATAGCATAGCAGGAATAAGGTATGCTTTAAAAGGAATAACTGGAGTCTTGGGGCTAGGAATAGGAAATCTTTTTGTCTCCAAAAATACCAATTGGGAATCTGTAATTCATTAAGAAAACATATGGAATCATCTCATTCTATTGTCAGTTAATTAGACTGCAAACACAGGGACTACACAATGCAAGCCTGACAGGATGCCGGTGGACTGGGCCATCTGTTACCAACACTTCCTCAGATGTCGGGGAGAACCTCTTCTGGGGAAACTCCCACTGAGAGGCATCATCAGCGCTCAATCAAGGCTAAACTCTGACAACCTACAAGGCTTCATGTATAATTCCTCACCACACGCACTCATCTCAACTCTGAAGTTGATCCTGAGCTGCCCCCCCCACCACCACCTCCATCCAGCAGAGCTTTTGTTTCCTCGACATGCGAGTCGCCTCGTCTAAACTCAGCTCCGTTGGCGAGAGCCTCAGGGTGAGATCTGAGAAATGTGGAAACGTTTTCCGGTCTAATCCTCCAAGAACGGGAAAATAAAGTCAGAAACACACTGCAGGAGACACGGATAGATGCACACACACCGTACACACATGAGAGAAGATACACCCAGTCTAGACTTACGTCCATACTCGACAACCCTAATCTATAGTGCAGGAACACAATCTAAGTCACACACACACACACACACACACATACACACACACACACACACACACACAACTGCAAAACCTTTAATCAGAGCGTCTATTAATAAAGCGGTGGCAGGCTGGCCGTGAGGTCTCCTGCAAGAACATCAGTAACCTAATGAGCTGTGCTCACTTCCTAACACACACCCACACACGTACAAATACACACTTTACACGCACACACACACACACACACACACACACACACGCTCCCAATCATGATTAGAAGAAGGAAAGAATGAATTTTGCTTTGTGGAGACAAATGAAAGAGATGCAAAATGAGACAGTGACCTTTCCAACTTGTCTGTGTGTATGAATGTGTGTGTGTGTGTGTGCGTGTGCGTGTGTGTGGTCGGGTAACTTTGGTATTTTTCAACCTGGACACTGATTTCCCCTGTTTTTGTGTCAAGTGACTAATGAGGACAACTATCTTTTAATTTGGTTCAGTATTGAGGGATAACCCTTTCTCACTTCTACTGCGTCGAATACACAGACTGTATATGAGAAGTGGATGTTGTCATCTCGATGTCGCCCATTGGTTTGTGGACTGACGTTTTGACGCCTCGAGTTCGGCGATTTCGCCATCGCTATCTTGGCTTTTTTTGCAACCGGGCGACAACAAACTCCCGTGTCTCCTCTCTCCAACTCTCACTCACGTTTCTACCGTTGTCCTCAAGTCACAATGACAAACAGAAAGGTAAAGAAAAACGGTTTATTTCCACAATGTTGTCAGACACTTAGAAGAACAATCGGAGCCTTTCAGCGGCAGAAACAAGCGCTTTCAGTGGAGTTAGGTTGACAGTGAGGAGTTGCCCTGAGTGATTACGTTATAGTCCATTTAGTGGCGTTCTCGCTCAATACTGGACCAATTAAAAATAACTTGTCCCCATTAGTCACTTGGACACCAAAACACGGGACAATAGGTCCAGGTTGAAAAATACCAAAGTTACCCTTTAAGGTGTAGCGTCTGATACTTTCTTATAATTAAACTAATTGTTGGAATAATATGAACAGAATGAAATGAAAGAGTCGGAGAGACAAAAGAGGGACGGAACAAAAGAGAGAGACAAGAGGAGATAAAAGGCAGACGACATGAGAAAAGAGGGATGGAAGAGGAAACAGAGAGGAAGACAAGAGAGCATCTGACAGCATGCAAAGAGAGGTGTAATGACTTTAATTAAATACCATCCTGCCGTTACACTCCCTGTCACTCACTCCTCATTCATCCCTCACTTATCCTTTCAACTCTCTCCTCCTGACGTTTCCATCCAGAGATGAAACTCCCGCCCGATGAAATGCCTCAGACAGCAGAGCTGAGGCAGAAGGTTTCAAGATTATTCCAGTCAGGAATTTCTCTTCTCTTTTTTTCAAATCCCGCCTTTGTCAACCTCTCACGAGTCTCTAATTAGGTCAAGTGCAACATTAAACTCAGAGATTTATCTCAACAACCAAGAAATAGAAATAGAAAAGTCTGTGCGTGTGTGCATTTAGAAAGAAAATAAATGAATTCATGTTTGTTTGCTACAATCCCGGCAGCTTCGTCACAGGTTCTACATTGTGTTTGCATGTGTGGGCACACTTGTTCCTGCTTAGACCCCTCAGCAGTGATGCATTAACCTTGGATGATCAGCGGTTCCCCTGTAAATCCACTGGCGCAGATAAAAAAGGAGCTGGCACTTGGCTCTGGGTGAAGTAACACTCCAACTAATTAAGCACAAAGTTGCTGCCGCGGCCGAAAATATTCCTCAATGAAGTTTTTCCGCGAGAGAGGCCGTCGGGCAGAAAGGCACCCGGATGAGTGCAGATGTTTTTCCTCTCTGATCTGCTAAATGTGCATAAGGGGCGACTTGTGTTGGGTTTTTTACTCTGGCTTAGTTCATTTATCCAAAATGACTGCTGCTGAATGTGTGACATGAAACTCTGGGGCCTCATCACTAAAACTTCCTGATTCTGAAATCCTATCCCATCCATTGCTCGTCACCATGTTGATGTTTTTGCAACCGATAAACGGAATGAGGAGGAGTGACGTAGAGACAGCGTATACGGCCCAGGTAGCGGCAGTGACCTGTCAATCACAGTAAGCCCCGCCCTAAAGCATCCCCTGCTTTATGGTCTGTTTGACTCTAAATGGACCATAATGTACTAAATGAACATCATGCTGTATTGAAGAAGACTTGAAACTAGAGATTGAGACCATAAACTCATGTTTACAATGTTTACTGAGGTAATAAATCAAGAGAGAAGTAGAGTCATTTTCTCATAGACTTCTATACAACCAGAGGAGTCGCCCCCTGGTGGACACTAGAGAGAATGCAGCTTTAACACATGAAGCTTTGGGT